AGGGGCAAACCCATGCTTTGCTGTGTGCAGGTGACGCGGCTGGTGGAGTTCCTCATTGAGCGGCGCGGGGAACTCTTTGAGGAGGAGGTGGCCGGGCTTGCTGCTGCGCCGGCCGAGGAGTCGCCAGCACCAGGGGCAGAAGCAGAAACCGCAGAGGTACGTCAGGGCCGCAAACAGCGTGACAACCAAAGCCTCCCCCCTCAGAAGGTGGGACTGCTGCCGCAGGGGCAAGCAAGGTCAGCACCAGCCTGCAGCTCTGCAGCAGTGCAGAGTAAGGCTGGTGCAGGTTGGCCATGGCACTTTGTGCATGGTGATCCCACCACAGCTGGCTCAGCTGAGCTGAGCAAGCCCATCCAAGGGATCTGCCTTTGCGAGCTAAGGGAGCAATTGGGCACGTAGGTCCTTGCCACCTGTTAACTTTTACATTTCCATTGCAGGTGCCTCTAGTCGCTCCAGAAAGCGAACACCTGAAGAGCTCCTCTGAGGAGAGCAGGTAAAGTGAGCTAGATTAAGAGCAGAACTGATTCATGTTTTTCGTGGCTTTACCTGTCTAACAATACTCTTGAAGGGAAAGGTTGCCAGGCTCTTCACAAGGAAACAGAGAAAACCAACCTGTGAAGAGAAGGGGAGCGACGGGCAACCAGGCAGGAAGAGGAGAAAGCTGGAAACAGCTCGCAGGGATGGGCAACTGAGGAAATCCAAGCAGGCAAGAAGAACGAGGAGCCCAGGTGTATAGCAGACTCTGCTGTCCGTCTTTCAAAAGCTCTTAACTCTGCTCTGAGTACAGGCAATATTTGCGAGGTGCACAGAGATGGGGCCAGAGAGGAAGCATGCACCTGCCCTGGGCAGAACGGGTATGTCAGGAGAAACGTGCCACTCCAGTGCTGGCAGTTTTCCTCTTGCACTTGTTGAAGCTCTCTTTGTGCAAGGCTGAGGAGACACCCCAGCAAGGTCACAAGACTCACAATTTTGAGCTCTGTGACCCGCTACCTCCAGACAGAGGCAAAAAGTCCCACTTTTCTGTTCACGTCAGCTGGCAAGCCCAGCACTGGCTGCTCTTGTCTGAATCCCAAAGACACAGCAAGGAGTTGTTCTAAGTAGCTGCGGACACTGAGATACTGGCACTTCTTCAAAAGCTCACCTTTCACCTAAGATAATTGAGGGAAGAAAAAAACATCCAAACAAGAAAAAAGCAGCATGTTTTGCCTTCAGACCTGGGTTTCTAGCAAGGGGCAGTGAGGGATGCTGCTGCTCACGTTTTGGAAAGGACCACATCCCAGCTCCCCAGGGGCTCCCTGCCGAGCCCTACTGCCTGGCAAAGGGCACTGCACATCTCTGTCAACTTGCAGTGCTCTGAGGGTATCGCACGTGTTGGGAAGGGGCCAAAGCAACACCGTAGTCGCTCCCAGTAAGGGCTCTCTCTCCCGTGCCAGGAACGACCCCTTTTCATTGCACTTCCCAAAGAACGGGGGACAAAGTCCCGCCTGTTCCTGCCCTCATGGTTTCATCAGCGCTTGCTGACTCTGTCCTTGTAGGTGCCGATTTGCGTTTGCTGCTTGGATTCCTCAGATGAGCTCTGACACCTGGGCTTCGAGGGCCACGATGCAGCCCCCCCGCACCACCTCGGCGGAGGCGAGGAGAGAGGCACCATGCCCTTCTGCTCTGGCCAGCAGATTTCACCTGTGCACCACTAAGGCGGAGCAGCCCCGCACCGCCCTCAGACCCATCCCAGCCCTCGCAGGAGGCCTTGCTGGCTCACTCCTCAGCTCTGGGAGCAAACGCCCACCAGCTGGCACGTCTCCCCAGGTGGGGAGCTGGCACGTGAACTTCACATTCTATGGAGCATCTGACGCATGGTGGTGCATATCATCTGGGAGGGGCGCAAGGGACATGCTGGACAGCATGTTCCGTACTATACAAGCCTCCAGGTTTTCTTTCCAACTACTCATTCTCAGCACGCAGATGAACCAGCTTGCTCGATACAGGAAGGGAGCACCCATTGCTGCTCTTTGGTCAGGGCAAGTTCTTGGATGCAGCACTCAGCAGAATACCTTTTCTTATTATTTTTGCTCACACATGACTAGCTTGCAGTTTCAGTTAGGCTAATAACTCCAGATCAGCTACAGAAAACATGCCTTTCTTACTTCTGCAGATCAGCACTCTCTGGACTGATGCAAAGACACCCCCTTCTGTCAGTCATAACCAGAGTTTGGAAAGCAGCTTTTCCCAAAGCTCCAGATACTTCAATAGCCTCTGTCCTTTTGATAGTTGAGCCCCGGATGATGACTAATGGGGTCGGGCTCCTTTCAGAAGGAAAAATACAAGTGCCAGCCACAACAGGGGAAAGCAATTGCATGGCTGATCTGCAGGTCTTGCAATGATTGTGCAGGAGTCAGCAGAGCATGGAAATTCAGGTGCAACTCTCCTAGCTGGCATCTGAAGTGGTTCAGAGGCAACGCCACCTCTTCTTCATGGGCAAAGTCTCACTTGATGCCCTCAGCAATCGCTGCCCTAAGTAATTGCACTCCTAACTGCTACGAGCTCTGCACCATGGCAAACCCAAAGGGTTTTAGAAAAAAAAAATCGTAAATACCTTTTGGGAAAAGAAAAAATCCCTATGCACTCAAAAGAAAGACACATCAGATGTCGAGACCTTCGCATGGTCTTTCTTACTGTTGCCCTGCCATTCATTTCCCTGCCTCTCTGGTTAGTTGAGAACTGGAGATCAGCATTTCATCTGGAGTTCCTAACCGGAGTTGGTGGTGCTATTGTACACACAGTGTCCTTTTGCTACTGCTTTATACAGACTTAGAGTCTCTGCTAAAACATTGGAAGACAAAGTTGTGCCCCTTTCTCTTCCATAGCATGCATGTCCCAATGTATATTGCAACCAAAACACTTAAGAAATAAAGCATTATTTAAATGCCATTAGGCGACGACAGAAGGCATCCGAGCCATCTGCAAACAAAGCCATATCAAATCCGAGGACTGACAGAGTGATTTGTTTGTAAGTGGACCAAGTGACCGATATGTGCCTTGTCCGCTTGCCTTTGCTGGAATACGTGGTATGGACTGCCTGCAGTTCTTAGCATTTCTCTATATGTCCTTCTCTCTAAAATTGCTTACTATTTCTCTACAGAAATAAAGTCTCAAATGTATATCTGGCCAGTCTCAGTATGTGGATGAGTCCCTTCCCCTTCCCCTTCCCCTTCCCCTTCCCCTTCCCCTTTCCTTTCCTTTCCTTTCCTTTCCTTTCCTTTCCTTTCCTTTCCTTTCCTTTCCTTTCCCCTTCCCTTCCCTTCCCTTCCCTTCCCTTCCCTTCCCTTCCCTTCCCTTCCCTTCCCTTTTTCTTCCCTTTTTCTTCCCCTCCCTTCCCTTTTTCTTCCTCTCTCCTTCTCTGCGTTTCACCTCTCCCTCTCTGATATTTAACTGTCCAAGAACAGAAAAGGGCCATGCAAAGGTTGCATTTGTAGAAGCCTTTTCTTTCTCCCAGGAGCTTTGGTTTTGCTCACAGGAAACCTGAGTAGGCACCTGCCTCTAAGAAAAGCTCTTGACAAGGAAAGAACTGAGGATGTTCCTCCTACTTCTGATCTGGGAAAGAAAAGCACTCCTTTTTTGCCCATCACAGGCGGCCACTGGTCAATATTTCTATTCTCTTGCTATGCTTTTGATCTCCTCTGCCTTCCCATTGGCCCTGTGCTCAGCTCTTGAGTGACAAGAAGGTCCAGACTTGTGTCCAGGTCCCGGCCATGATGTTGCCTTGCTCTCGCAGCATCAAGTGGTGACGCTTTGCTTTGAGCCACAATACATTCCAAGGGACTGATGGGAAGGAGGAGTCAAAAAAGCCAGGTGAAATGGTGCCTAAAATCCCACCCAGCCTTCATGATGGGATAAAGCCCCTCGCAGGTCTGATTATGACCTGGATGAATTTTCCTCTTCAATATTTATTCTAGTCATTCTGTAGCCAGAACAGTCATTTCAGTATTTATTCCTTTTGATTTCTTATCCTTGTAAAAATTGAAACATCCAGGTCATCAAGAAGGCTGATCCAGAACGCAGTTGATCTGATCTGGCCCCAAATACCTATGATGTGACAGTGCCCATAACTTTGGATGTACAGCTCTTTCACCTTTCTCCTTTGAAGCCTTTGCTTTTGTGCATGAGGGCTTTATTTACCTTTCTTTTCAGAGTTGCTCATCATTTTAGCGTTGTTTATGAGGAAAAGATCCTTTTTTTCTATATGTGAATTTATTTACATGTAATAAACAGCATCAAATCCTATTACACCAGTGATCAGTTTTCCAGATTAATGAAAATTAAAAACAAAAGTATGCTTTGTGCCTGCTGAGTTGTGGACATTTGTAGCTACAGCAGTTACTGAGTTGCTGGCTACCCCACTCTGAGGTCCAGAGGACACCAGACTTCTTCTGAAGGCTTTCTACCAATGCAATATTGTTTGAGACACCACTCCATTAAAATAGGACTTGTTCAGTCATAGGTTTCTAAATAAAAACCCAAGGATAGAAACCTGTTCCTGGTTGGCAAAGTGAAAAGCAGCATGAGGTGATGCTGTCCAAAGCCTAGCTGCTGCGCCTGAAGAAAATGTCCCTTGAGTTTCACTGGGCAGATAGGCCATGCTTTTGGAAGCCTGGTTGACAAAACAACAGAAGATATCTGTGTCCAAAGAGCATTAACAGCATCATGCGGATGACCACTCACAAGTCAGGCAATTCCCGAGTGAAGACTGGCAGCTTTTGATCTCCTCTGCCTTCCCATTGGCCCTGTGCTCAGCTCTTGAGTGACAAGAAGGTCCAGACTTGTGTCCAGGTCCCGGCCATGATGTTGCCTTGCTCTCGCAGCATCAAGTGGTGACGCTTTGCTTTGAGCCACAATACATTCCAAGGGACTGATGGGAAGGAGGAGTCAAAAAAGCCAGGTGAAATGGTGCCTAAAATCCCACCCAGCCTTCATGATGGGATAAAGCCCCTCGCAGGTCTGATTATGACCTGGATGAATTTTCCTCTTCAATATTTATTCTAGTCATTCTGTAGCCAGAACAGTCATTTCAGTATTTATTCCTTTTGATTTCTTATCCTTGTAAAAATTGAAACATCCAGGTCATCAAGAAGGCTGATCCAGAACGCAGTTGATCTGATCTGGCCCCAAATACCTATGATGTGACAGTGCCCATAACTTTGGATGTACAGCTCTTTCACCTTTCTCCTTTGAAGCCTTTGCTTTTGTGCATGAGGGCTTTATTTACCTTTCTTTTCAGAGTTGCTCATCATTTTAGCGTTGTTTATGAGGAAAAGATCCTTTTTTTCTATATGTGAATTTATTTACATGTAATAAACAGCATCAAATCCTATTACACCAGTGATCAGTTTTCCAGATTAATGAAAATTAAAAACAAAAGTATGCTTTGTGCCTGCTGAGTTGTGGACATTTGTAGCTACAGCAGTTACTGAGTTGCTGGCTACCCCACTCTGAGGTCCAGAGGACACCAGACTTCTTCTGAAGGCTTTCTACCAATGCAATATTGTTTGAGACACCACTCCATTAAAATAGGACTTGTTCAGTCATAGGTTTCTAAATAAAAACCCAAGGATAGAAACCTGTTCCTGGTTGGCAAAGTGAAAAGCAGCATGAGGTGATGCTGTCCAAAGCCTAGCTGCTGCGCCTGAAGAAAATGTCCCTTGAGTTTCACTGGGCAGATAGGCCATGCTTTTGGAAGCCTGGTTGACAAAACAACAGAAGATATCTGTGTCCAAAGAGCATTAACAGCATCATGCGGATGACCACTCACAAGTCAGGCAATTCCCGAGTGAAGACTGGCAGCTATCCTGATGGCCGGCTCTGTCATTCATGGCCACAGACTCTCTTTCCTAGGTGCTCACAGAGCAGGAGGCTGGCTTCTCACTCAGACAGCACATAGCCAACACGGCAGGTCGCTCTGTAGCTCACTGTGTTCCCCCATAACTGCTTATCTGCGCAACAGATAATATCTTATTATCTGTTGTTTGTGTATAGAGAAGGACTTGTAGGAGATTTGAAGGGAGGTGGGTGTCTTGGCCACAGTGATCACAAAACATTTGAGTTTAAAATTTTTGGTGTAATGAGATAAAGGACAGCAGAATTTCTACCCTGGAGCAAATTTTAAGCTATTCAGGGCCCTAGTTCGCAGTGTCCCCTAGGAATCTGCTTTTGAAGGACTCAGGGGTCCATGAGAGCAGGTCAGTTTTTAAGAACCACCTTTTACAAGCACAGGAGCCTGCAATCCCATGGTGCCAAAAGTCAAGCAAGTGGGGCAGAAGACCAGCATGGCTGAACAGGGAACTCCTTTTGCAACTCAGGCAGAAAAAGAAATTGTATGATCCCTGGAAGCGAGGTCAGGCTTTGCAGGAAGATCACAGAGCTGTAGTTCACATCTGTAGGGAGAAAACACAAAAAGCGAAAGCTTAACTAGAGTTGAAACTGCCCCGTGTTGTGTCAGACAATAAACAGGGCTTTTTGAAGTATGTTCATAGGAAGAGGAGGTCTAAGGAAAATACTGGACCAATACTTGATGAAGATGGTCACCTGACAAATAGTGATGAAGAAAAGGCAGAGGCATTTAATGCTTTTTTTGCCTCAGTCTTTAATATTAATGATAATCTGTGAGTCAGAGGACCACGAGTGTAGGAATGGTGACTATCCATTTCTGGACACTGAAATTGTAAGGGACCAGCTGTACCAGCTGAATGTTCACAAGCCCATGGGGCCTGGTGGGATTCATCGCAGAGTCCTGAAGGAGTAGGTGGATGTTA